AAAGAAAGAAAGAAAGAAAGAAAGAAAGAAAGAAAGAAAGAAAGAAAGAAAGAAAGAAAGAAAGAAAGAAAGAAAAGAAACCCATATTCTATTAAGTTGGAAATCTAAAAGGAATGGACTAATTTCTTGATTCATCCAAACTATCAAAGTTAAATTATAAGGAGATTAGCAACCTAAACAGACTGTAGCAAACAAGGAGATTGAAACAGTAATAAAAAGTCTCCCAACTTTAGAGTCCAAAACCAGATGGAGTCATAGCAGAATTCTACCTGACTTTCAAAGAATAATGAATAATTCTTAAATTATTGAAAAAAAAAAAAAAAAAGAAATGGAAGGATCACTTCTAAACTCATTCTATGAAGCCAGAATTACTCTAATATCCACAGCAGGCAAAGACAATAAAATAACCAAACTACAGACTAGTATCCCGGATGAACACAAATGCAAAAGTCCTCAATAAAAGACTAGCAAACACAATATAAACACATATCACAAAGATCATCCACCACAAGTGGGCTTTATCTCAGGATTTTAGGTTGGTTCAACATACAGAAGTGAATAAATATAATGAATCATATAAACAGACTCAAAGACGAAATCACATGATTTCTCAATGATGCGTCTCAATAGACGCAGCAAGGGCTTATAAAATATCCAGCATGCTTTCATGATAAAAGTCCTAGAGAGAACAGGACTGGAGTGAAATTCCTCAATATAATAAGGGCAAAATATGACAAACCCATAATCAACATTATCTTAAATGGGGAAAAACTCAATCCCATTAAAATAAAAAAATAAGAAAAAGCTGTTCACAAGCCCTACTCCTTTCCAATACAATGCTGGAACAATAAGAAGAGAAATAAATAAAGGGATGCAAACAGGAAAAGAAGTCAAATTATCCCTGTTTATAGATGATATAATAAGAAATCTCAAAAATTCCATCATTAAACTTCTAGAAAGAATCAACAATTTTAGCAAAGTGGCAGGGTACAAACTCAACTTTCAAAAAATTAGTAGCACTGGGGCTAGAGAGATAGCTCAGCAGGTAAGAGCACTAGATGTTCTTGCATAAGACCTGGGTTCAATTCCCAGCACCCACATGGCAGCTCTCAACTGTCTGTAAATTCAGTCCTAGGGGATCCCATAACCTCCTCTGGCCTCAGAGGGGATTTCATGCACATGATACACATATTCCAACAAACACTCATACACATAAATTTTAAAAAAATAAACTAAAAAAAAACAAAACAAAAAACCACTGAGAATGAGATCATGGACATGTTCCCATTTATAATACCAAAGATGATGCAATATCTAGAAATAAACCTAACCAAGGCAGCAAGGGAGCAGGCTCAGTGGTTAAGAGCACTGGCTGCTCTTCCAGAGGTCCTGAGTTCAATTCCCAGAAACCACATAGTAGCTCCCAACCACCTATAATGAGATCTGGTGCCTGCAGATACACATGCAGACAGAACATTGTTAAATGAATGAATGAATGAATGAATGAATGAATGAATGAATGAATGAATGAATGACTCTTGCGCGGGGGGGGGGGGGGGAAGCAACCTAACCAAGGAGAAGGACTTCTACAATGAAAATTCCAAATCTCTTAAGATGGGGATTGAAAGAGGCACTAGAAAAATAGTCATCCTGTGTTCATGGATCAGTAGATTCATACTGTGAAAACAACTAGTCTACCAAACGCAACCTACAGATTCAATGTAATCCAAATAAAAATACTGACAGTACTCTTTACAGAAATAGGAAAAAAAATCCTAAAATTCATGTGGGACCAGAAAAGATCCTAGACAGCCAAAGCAGTGCTGAGCAAAAGAAATAAAACCGCAGTGATTGCCATCAGATTTCAAGATATACCATAGAGTTATAGTAATAAAAACAATATGGCAATGGCACAAAACAGACTTGCAGACCAAACATGCAGAATAAAACAGAAGAGCCAAGCCATCTGATATTTCACAAAGAGGAAAATAAAACAAAACAAAACAAATGAGCAAACAAAAAAATCCATACACTATAGAAAAGACAGTATCTTCAACAAATGATATTCAGAAACCTGGATGCCCACATGCAGAAGAATGAAAATATTCATATCCATCACCTTTCATAAAAACTAACCACAAATGGATCAAATACATGACTAAAACCACTGAAACTGCTAGAAGAAAACACAGCCAGGACCCTACATAATATATGTGTAGGAAAGAACTTTCTTATGAGGACTCCAGTTGCCCAGGAATTAAGGCCAACAACAAATGGCAAATGGGACTTCATAAAGCCAAAAAGCTACTGTGTAGCTAAGGAAAAAACTCAACCAAGTGAAGAAGAAACCCACAAAGTGGGGAGAATCTTTGTCAGCTGTATATCTGACAGAGGAGCAATATGCAGAACACAGAAAGAGCTCAAAAAGCAGAGACAAGAAAACAAATGACCCAATCAAAAAGTGGGCCAGGGAACTAGGCTGCCTAGTTTATGTCAAGGTTTACTCTTTAGAAACAGGTAGTGAGAGTTGAACTGGGATACACAGGCATCTTACCTGGACAGTGGATGAAAGACCAGTTGTACCTGCTGTCCTCTAGACACATGCTGGAGTTGAGAAGGGGCTGTGGATACACACTCCCTGTAGAGGCCTGTGAAGGCATCTTCACAGGTCCTTTATAGCTGCCCTCAATACACTTTCCTTTCCCAGTATTGCTAGGATCAGTACACCAGCCACAGCCAGGCTGCTCCAAGCAATGGCTGCAGGTGCAGTAGCCAGAGCAATTTTCGGCTATTAAAACAAAACAAAACAAAACAGCTTGTAATTCACTACCATAAGAAGACTTGACTTCACTGTTGCTATCTTCTCTTTGATAGATGACTTAACTTCCATGAATTAAAACTAGCATTGGTTTTAATTATAGTGATTATTGAAATGAAACACTTTAAAGAGCCCAATATTTACACAATATACAAGAGGGACTTTCCAACCTTTTAGTATCAGGATGTTGAACAAAGAAGAGACCTGTAAGGTCCTCTACTTAAAGTACTTTACAAACTGGCAGATTAAGATGTGGAGACATTACAGAGATTCAACCTGAATCTCTGTAATATGACCCTGAAAAGGAAGTTATTTCTATACCCTGTGACTTACCCTAGATTTATCTGATTTACTGCATGGATCGCTGTGCCCAGTTTTATACATACATTTTAATTTGGAAGGACTAGCCCAAGCAGCTTCTGGATGGCCTTGAGCAGGTCTCTTCACTTACGTGGGCAGCTGCTCATCGTGTACCACTCCATGCACTGGCCAAACGGGAAGGAGGCCACATAGGCATTGGAGTCTACACACTGCTTCATGTTGCTGCACCACATGCACTCGGAGCTGCTGCTAGTGCACTCGCTACACGCTGTCCGCAGGGCACACGGTGTCCGGCACTGCTTGGCACTGTGGTTCGCTGCGGTAAGATTAAGCCCAAAAGGGATACTGGTCAGCTAAGATAAAGGCTTCTCAATGTGCAATATGAAGTCAGTGCAACACTACACCACACGGAGTAAACACCAGGAACCTGGAGCCATGGGTTCCGTTTATTCAACTGTACTTAAATATTGAGGGGAAAATGGACTTTCTTTTTAAAAAGCACTGGAGATGAAGGTGGAGGAACAACAACAACACAATCTTAGAAGAAAAATGACTCATGATGATGAGTTTGTTACATTCTACATTTACAATTTTGAGGTATGACAACATTAAATTTACCAAAGCATTTAGGATTCAACAAGGATGAAATGCTTTCCTGCAAGATAATCTAGTAATCCAGAGGGCTGGAGAGATGGCTCAAAGGTTAAGAGAGTGTATTGCTTTTCAAGTCCCAGCATTCATGTGAGGTGGCTCACAGCCGGCTATAACCCCGGCTCCAAGGGATCTGACACCTGTCCTCTAAGGGCACCTCTATACTCTCTTTCTCTCAACAGACACACTCACACATATACCCTCACACACACTCATTCTCACTCACACACCCTCTCTCACACACATACAACCACATGATTAAAAAAATAAGTATTTTTAAGTATTTTAGAAACCCTAACAGAAGGAAGATCCTATGCTGTATTGCAAAGTACAATAGTTTCCTGAAATAAGACCTGCTGGGAATGGAATCCAGCCTCCACAATAACCCCCACTTGCGCCTCTTGCTTTTGGGTTCTCATTGTGTGTGGCAGCCCTGGGCCTATGTTCATGGAATCTAGCCTTAGCCTCAGCACAGGACACTGTCAGAGCCTGGGATTGGCTCTGTTCGCGTCTGTTGCCATGCCCCTCTCCACAGCAGCTTTCTGAATGGTGTCCTGACCTGCTGCGTTTCTAAAGGTTTCTTTGGTTTCTGTGCTGTTCTTTCTTCTGTAGCATTCCTCTGCCAACACCAATGAAATTATCTTTCGGAACAATTCCCAACACTTTTGTGGTCAATAGAGCAGTGTAGCTCAATTAATTGGGTTCTTTCAATAATTTTAATTCTGGTTTTGAGTATGGCTCAAAGCAGTGAGAGGCAAAGACTATTTCCTTGCATTTGGATTTGGTTCTGTTTGAAATAAATATGCCTGAATCAGTGAAGAACTGATGTCACAAGTATTTTATAATCTCAATACTTAATCAACTGCCTCCTAAGCCTTCTTGGCAAACCTCTTGGAGCACTGTATTTGTCACATCCTCACCAGGCCTTTCACAAACACTGCCGTTGAGTGGGTTGATGCAGGTTGCAGCTTTCAGTCCCCGAGTACTAGGCTCTGACAAGATCCCACAGAAGCCAGCATCACTTGGCTCAGATGGCATCCACTGCAGCAAACTATTTGTAAATGGAGACATATCCTCCCAGCACCAGTAAGACACATTGATCTTCCGAAGACCAACCCACGGAGTCAGAGTGAGCTTGGACTATAGGCGAAAGAAACACAATTATGAATATAACCAGTGTCTTCACCAAAAAAGGCTCTGACATGAAAACCACTGCTTAGGTACGCCCCACAGATACCTGGAAAGCTCTTTATTCCCCAAACTCAGCCAAGACAGATTAAAATAAGTGATCATTTCAATATGCATTCAATATTGTAAAGTATAAAAATGGCTCTAAGAAGATAATATATCAAGATTTTCAGACATCAAGAGTAAAGCAATAATCATACTTCATGTTCTATGACAAGTGCCATAAAAAAACAATCATCCACAAATTTGGTATAAAAACTGGTTCATAAATAAAGTCATCTTACTAATATTTATAAAATATTGGTTGTATGCCTAACCACAGATCATTACCTGAGCCTATATAGCCAGTATTCAGATTATTTAAATTTTACACCGTTAGCCATAGTACACAGCCTAATACATACATTTTCTTTTCCAGTTTTCCTAAGGTCCAGTTTTCCTAAGGTGTAACTACCAAAACTCAGGCTCATCTGTGTTGTTCCAGGTGACAGATTTCCTTCTTTTTAAAGGCAAGATCACATTCTACTTTGTATAGGTATATGTATCACATTTAATCTATTTATCTGTATATGTGTCACATTTTATCTATTTATCTAACTTGACACTATATTTGTTTTTTAAAAAGTTATAAACTTGTAGAACAGTTTCTGCCTCCGTTTTTGTTCTGAGGAGTCAGACCCAGTGCCTCCTAGACATACACTCTACCACTGAGCTCCTAGGTTGGACAGCCTTGAAATTTCTTTCTAATTTCAATTTCATTTGTTTGGCTTTTTGAGACAAGATGTTCCTCTGCAGCCCTGGCTGGTGTGGAATTCCCTATATAGACCAGAGACCTGCCTGCCTCTTTCTTCTGAGTGCTGGGATTAAAGATATGATGTGCTGTGCCTGGCTCCCTGTTGCAATTTAAAAAACAAAACAAAAATCACCTTTGTAGGGGCTGGAGAGATGGCTCAGCAGATTCATGCTGTTATTCCAAAGGACCAGAGTTTGGATCCCAGCACTCATATCAGGCAGCTCACAAACTGTAACTGTAACTCCAACTCTCTCATCTGGGAAGCCCTTTCCCCCCAGGCTCCCTCAGTATCACAAGTACCTGTTAGATATTTCAGAGTCCATGCTGGTCTCCTGGCCCTTCCCTCCCCCCCCCCACTCCTCCATCCCACACACCCTCTCTCATCTCATTACCCTTTGTTTTCTCCACTATTCCCTTCCCATTTCCCTAGCCCTGGCCATGCCCACTCTGCTTCTTTTTCTCTCTGCATCTGGATTCTTCCAGATGCTTCTGGATATTTTCTCTCTCTTATTCACAATGAAAAACCTTCAGCTAATGGAGCAGTCATATCTGTAGTTCCCTTACATACACCTGGTGCTGAACACCCACAAGGGGCACAAATAGACCCCTTTTCAAGGGGTCCAGCCTCTGCCAATCAAACCAAGGTGCTGATCTGACTAAGAAATGGATCATTTGTTTCTGCTGGCTTCTGCCACCTACCATATTTGATTCCAAATTCTAGAGTCCATTTCTCCAGTTGCCTCCCACCTGTTCTAATCACTCATCTCTCTGTCTACTCTGTTGAGTGCCACACCAGAGCTCTCTGCTCACTCTGTTTTTCAGCTGCCGCAGCCTACTTCTGCTACAAAAGTCCTGCCGGTGTCAGACACAAGAAGAATATGCACACTAAACAACTGCAGACTTGACAGCACCAGTATTACAGTAATGTTTTTGTTTTGAATGGGAGAGAAAAAATATCCAGAGGCAGCTGGAACAGTCCAGAGCAGAGAGAGAGAGAGAGAGAGACAGAGAGACAGAGAGACAGAGAGAAGCAGACTAGGGGGTAGGGAAATGGGAGGGTGGAAAGACAGCAAGCTAATAAGACATAAAGAAAGAATGTGTGATGTGGACCATCATGTGGGTTATAAGGAGAACAAGTAGCTGAGGGGAGGAGAGGGCCAGGAGACCAGCATGGACTCTGAAATGTGTAACAGGTGCTTGTGATGCTAGAGGGCAGCATGCACTGTGATATGCCCATAGATGACGTAGGTAGCCATATGTCCTCTGCCAGAGGTAAGAAAAATGATTCCTTTTGGCAGATGGGAACCAACTTCACAAGTTCCTGAAGAACGCTTGCTTTTCATCTAACTTCCAGAAGTCCTCCTATAGTCCAGGATGAGCTCATTTCTAGATACTTGGACTTCCTGAGACTTAACAACCAGACCCTCATCATACCAGCACACCACTATGTGAAGGTGGTGCCAAATGAGAAATGCTGTGTGGCACTCCATTTTCTCCTGGCTAGACAAAAGCATGTACCCCACATCTCTCTATAGCACAACCAGCATGGACAGAAAAAATGCTCTGTGAATATCTAATTGGCTGAAGCATCACAGTTCTTAGAGTGAACACACACACGCGCACGCACACACACACAAACGTCAAATGAGATTGTGTAGAATCAACTACGAGCCATTCAAGAGCTTGGCTAGACAATAAGAGAACTTAGGACTTTCTGAGTTTGGAAGCCTTAGCAAAAAAGTGCCCTCTTCTGAGGTAGCCAGGCTTTAGACTTGTTATTGGTGATCACATTGTGTGCTGTAATGGCTGTCAGGGATGCATGTGGCTTAATGGCACCTAGCTAACTAGCTTTGTACTCTCCCTTCTCCCAAGCAAGACCTAGACATAAAACAGGTGCTAAATAATCTGATGTCACACAACATGTGCACATATTGCTATTCTTTCCATATATTCACATTTTATAATCTACTTAATAAACATGACTAATAAAATATGCAAAGTACCAAACTTTTTAAGACAAGAAGAAAGGCATTAAAAGAGACTCTGAAGTACAGGTCCACAGTCTATTATTAATCATTTACTGGAATTCTTTCTTCTATCAGTCACATGATATGAGCTGAAGAATGGTGGGTTCTAGAAACCAAAGTTCTGAAAATGTTAACTCACCATGCTCTGAGATGACTGCATTAATCGAAGCTGCTTAAGGACAAACTCCACCTTCTTCTGTGATGTAAGGGAAGCCAAAAAGGCATTGTGGGTCCTACAGGACAATTTAGCATTGTCATAATTTTCCTTAGCAGTAGTGATTTTCAGACATGAGTTTCCAACCAAATGCCAGCCAACGCCACAGATATTTTCTTTTGTAAAGGTAAGAGAAAAGAAAACTAAGTTTTAGAAATTATGCAGGACTATTATAGTACTAGTTCAAATTACTGACATCTAAACGCATTCTGATTTGAATTCCAGGTGTTTTCTTAGGATTTGGTGAGAGTATCAGACCATTATTTACTTCCATAAATAGGAAAAAACTTTTAAAATAAAATTACTCTCTTTTACCTGATAGGCTAGAGTTAGATAGAAGGGGAGGAGGACCTCCCCTATCAGTGGACTGGGGTAGACACATGGGAGGAAAAAACGGGAGGGAAGGCAAGATTGGGAGAGAATGAGGGAGGGGGCTACAGCTGGGATACAAGTTGAATAAATTGTAATAAATTAAAAAATTAAATTAAAAAAGTTTAAAAAAATTATTCTCTTTTAAATTATGTATATATGTGTGCCTTGAGTGTGGGCTAGTGCATGTGAACACAGTGCCCACAGAGACCATAAGAGGGCATTAGATCAGAAGTGAAGTTACATGAGGTTGTGAGCTACCCAGCATGGACACTGATTGACCTTGGGTCCTCTAGAAGAACAGCATGCACTCCCCACTGCTGAGCCTTCTCTCCAGCCCCAGAATAAAAGACCTTTTTACAAGTTTCATCAGTCATATTTTCTGGCTCTCAGGAAGTATACTCTGGGCCAATGTCCCTACATTATTGAGGCAAACTCTTTGGTGCCATTTTTTGAAAAAAAAATGAAAAAGAAGACTAAAATCTTGAATTCAAAGCATATAAATAAATACGTATATTGGAAGGATGGCATGGAAAATTACAAATGGTGCTTGGGAGATGGTTCAGTGGATAAAATACCTGTGTCATGCATAAGGACCCAGTTCAGATCCTCAGCACCCACAGAAGAAGCCAGGCATGCTTTTACTTGCTTGTGATCTCGCTGAGTGCTAGAGGCAGGAGGATGCCGAGCCTTGTGAGTCAAAGCTACTCTAGATAATCAGTGAGCTCCACATTCAGTGAAGGACCCTGCCTCAAAACAACTGAATGCAGAGAGGGACAGAGGAAGAAACCGGAAGTTAACTTCTGGCCTACCATGCTCACACGTGGATACACTTCTATACACAGAAAAAGTAAACAGAGAGGGGCTGAATTGAGAATGGCTAAGCTTAAGTCTCCAAATGCTACCCTGTTTTCAAATCACGAGGTAGAAGGGATAAAGAAGTGTACAAGACATGGCAAAAACAAAGTGAAGAGAGAGACTGGTTTAGGAAAAACCTCAAAGGATGTCTACAATCTCCTCCTGTGATTGTGCTGAACTCAGATAAAGTATTGCGTGGACATTAGCATGAAAGTGAACAAGCAAGTGTTTCCCCAGAACCAGACATCAACAATGCCCATTAGCTGGAAGATACTGAGAGGGAAGGTTTAACACAAGAGCAGATAGACTTGCTCCGCAGAATGTGCTATTGGTAGAGAGTCAAAACTGAAGGCTCTCAAGGCCTGTGTTGGAGTATGCCTTTTAACAAGGTGCCTATTGAACATTAACATTTGAGACACAAAACAAAGACAAAAAGCCTGCAGTGATCTGAATAAGAATGATCCCCATAGGCTCGTATATGTGCATGCTTAGTCACAGGGAGGGGCACTGTTAGACAAGGATTAGGGGTGTAGCTTTGCTGAAATAGCTGTGGCCTTGTTGGAGGACGTGTGTCAAGGGTAGGGATGGGGTTGCCTTTGAGCTTTCAAAAGCCCATGCCAGGTCCTGTCTCTCTCTCTCTCTCCCTGCCTCTCTGCTTACAGATCAGCTCAGTTACCACTCCAACGCCTGCCTGTGTGCCGCCATGCTCCCCACCATGATGATTAATAATAGCCTCTGAAACTGTAAGCAAGCCCCAGTTAAATATTTCCTTTCGGAAGAGTTGCCTTGGTAATCTTGGTGTCTCTTCACAGCAAAAGAACACACTTAAAATAAAGCCCATTCTGCAAACTAAATAAAATTCTTTCAAAGGGCCCAGATCAACCACTTTACGTAAGTCTCAGATGTGGGAAAGCATAGAAGCCTCCTTTCTGGATATCTCAATGAAATAAATACAATACAGAGATAGTCATGGCTAACTGGCTTGTCTCAGGGCCTAAAATCATGACCCTGAACCTCTGCTGAAACAGTCAGGATTGAAAGCCACATCAGGAGATGATGCTGGTACAGAAATCTTTTCTCCTCACAGAACTGTCAGCAAGCGCTTCCTGCAGCATCCTGCCAGTCGCTGAGTCTGCACAGCTCTAGCGCCAGGTTACCACAGCAGAAGGAAGAACAGTGGAACATGGTTCATGACATGGATCCAAGCTGCCTTCCAATTCTCCAGAACAGGAGATGACTTTTTACCTTATTTCAAAGGTCAGTAAGTTAATATGTAACAACAATGTTTAAGTTAAATATATACAAAAGAATTTCCCAAATAGTGAGGGTGCTAAATAGATAGAATAAGGGTCTCTTTCCTAGGTTCAGCCTAACCTAGAGAGGAAGGAGCAAGAGTTGGACCCTTATAAAGGGTATCCCTGTGCAAGGCCTACCGGGCAGGGCGATGCATTCCTGATTCCGGGGCTCCCACTGGCAGTTCTGGTCTAGGGCACAGCTCCTGCAGCTGGTTTTCTTATTGCAGTAGTACATGGGGTTGTCCTTGGGGCAACTGTCATACTTGGAAATGGAGATCTAGAACACAATGAAGAAGTACTTTTGTTTATATTCACACAAAGAACTCAGTGAGGGTCCTAAAGACAGTAACATAACCAAGGATGGTAACCGCACAAAGGAAGGAAGGAAGGAAGGAAGGAAGGAAGGAAGGAAGGAAGGAAGGAAGGAAGGAAGGAAGGAAGGAAGGAA